CCCAGTGCCTGTTGAACCACCCTGCCTAGTTTATAGCAGTCCACAAGATCCCCCCTCAGCCTTCTCTTCTGGAGCCTGAACAGGTTCAGGTCCCGTAACCTTGCCTCATAGGACCTGCCCTGCTGTCCCTTGATCATGCGAGTGGCCCTCCTCTGGACCCTCTCCATGCTGTCCACATCCCTCTTAAAGTGCGGCTCCCAGTACTGGATGCAGTACTCCAGCTGCGGCCTGACCAGTGCCGCATAGAGGGGGAGGATCACCTCCTTGGTCCTGCTTGAAATGCATCTGTGGATGCACGACAAGGTACAGTTGGCCTTCCTAGCCGCCTCCCCACACTGCCGAGCCATGTTCATCTTGGAGTCAATAATGACTCCAAGATCCTTTTCCACCTCCGTGTTGACAAGAGCGGAGTTCCCCAGCCTGTAGGTATGGTGCCGGTTGTTCCTCCCCAGGTGCATCACCTTGCACTTGTCTGTGTTGAACCCCATCCTGTTCTCCTCCGCCCATCCTTGTAACCTGTCAAGGTCCGACTGTAGCCTGTTATAGCTAATACTGATGTCACATCTCTACCTAACAGTCCCTGAATGAGAATTCAGTGTGGACCCCTGAATGAGATTGGTTTCCAAAGCGAACTTCTGGTTTGCTCTTGACTTCAGGTGGACAAGGATTGGGACTGACATACCACCTGTACTGCCAGGTAAAATCTCTGGATCTGGTCCACCAGCAGGAACCAAGGTCACCTTTCTCCTTCCCATCCCATCTCTACTGAAAGAGCCCTGTCTGTGCCAGCCTCAGCCCTGTCGGGCATTGTTGTGTATAATGTATGTACATACAGACACTGTATATTTATAAAATTTCTATTTTTGGTTGGTTTTGGATTAGGCTTTTTTGGATGATAAAGATCCTTGTTTTTTTTAAAAAAGTGGAGTGAAAAGTAGTTATTTTTAAGTTCGTAATAAAATTTTATCTTCGACAGCAGTGTTGAGAGGTGAATTTGGAACATGCTTTGGGACTGGAGGCATGTCTGGCTGTTGAGGACCCGTTTCCCTTGGTTATTTGCATTCAGCCTCTTCCTCGGTACCCACCATTTTTCCAGTAATAAGGACACTGATGAGGCCAGTCCTGGAATGCTGCCACTTTCTGAGCTGGAAAGTAGTGTTTAACAACAATTACCCCTCCCCTTTTTTGTAGGAAAGCCAGGCCTTGCATGTAGCAGTGGTGTCTTCTCCATGCTAACCTGGCTGTCTCCCTGCAAATAGCATGGGCTGAGCCTGGGGTCTGCTTCACTGCTGCATTATTCCAATTTTACAGTGAGGTCGTGCCAGCGGTTCCAAGTGAACGGAAGTAACGCAGCTGGGACTCAAGCCCTTTGGTATTTTCTGTCACTTAGTGTCTGACAATAGGCAAGAGCCTGTTGCTCTGCAAACCCTTTGGTTGATGTGCAAAAGAGAGTGAAAGGCTCTTGCGCTCATGTGTGAGCAGATCCCATGCGGGAATACAACTGAAGTTTGGGTTAAGTGTCATCCTCTGAAATGATCCACAATCAGCCTTGCCAGCTCATGATTTTTGGCATAATAGTCTATGCTTAGGAAATGTGACGACTGTAGCTCTTTCTTTTATATATATAAAATATAGCTCTTTATTTTTATATATATTAAAAAGACCCAAGATTGTCACATTCCTGAAGTGCAGACTCTAAAAACAACACCAAAAATCATGAGAGTTGGCAACGGTGAGTGTGACCCCTGTATGCAGCTGCTCCCTTCCCCACAACAGCCCAGGGAGGCAAGAGGGCAAGGAGAATCAATTGGGACTTTTGGATTGAAACCTGTAATTGGAAAAGACTGGCAATTGAAAACAGAAATTTTGGTGAGAATATGCTGGGTTTGACAGCTTTTGTTGGGAAGGTTTCTCAGGTCCCAGGTGAAAGATAAAGACCCAACAGTACTGGTATTAGCTGGACCTTACACTGGGCTTGTCAGCTGTAGATCATTAGTATCATTATCCTATCATTATCTGTACACACATGAAGAGCTGGGAATTGGACCCAAGGTTTGTGATCCCTCATCCTTGTGTTCTAAACATGAGACCACACCTCCCGCTTCGAGCAACCATACCAGAAAGATTACCAAACCATCAGCTTCATCCTTTTCAGAACCTCCTCTCTCTTGCAAATGGAGGAATAAGAAAGGATGTGGAGGCAGAGGCCTGGGTAACTATTCTGAGTGAAGTGCGTGCGGTCTCCCCAGAGTTGTTTGCAGTCTCCAGCAAGATTAATTGCATTTAGTCCTTGGAACCCTATCGCGTGATAGCTACAAAGCTCTAACGCCATCAGGTCTGATTAGACTCATGTAAGGAACAATATGATGGGGTTGTCTGTAATAGCAAGGGAATGGACCGGATGATCCTGGAGGTTCTTTTTGGTCTTATGCTCTTGTTCAATTCCCCTCCTTGTCTTGCCTTTATTATGCAGTTCAAAGAGAAGCAGCATCGATCAGTTTTTACCCCAGAATATGCATTCAGTACATTCATTTGGAGTTAGGAGCCAGGCTGCTGTGCCAATTAGTTGACAACTAACCAACATCTGTTAGTGGGAAATGACATGGGTTACTGGTAACAACCCCCCCAAATCATAATCTTGCTCTTAACTGATGGAGATCTGAGAAGCCTCAGAGCCAAGGGGCTTATTAGTGTCATGGAAGAAACCCCCAGGATAACATAGGGTTGCAAAATTGGGCTCTTTCTTCACATGAGCACTGCAATGGAAACCTTTTGATTGGGTTCTGCCTTGTGTTACACTGGTGTAAACCCAGAGCAAATGTATCAAACCAAAGCAAATCAAGTTTTAGTGGTTCAAACCAGAGTTGATTTTGTCCCAACTTTTACAAGTTAGAGCTACTTCTGGGAGGGTGAGTTTGGAAACCTGAATCTTACTTCATTGAGAATTAGAGGCTTAAACACTTTTAAAGCCCTAGCTCTTCAGTGTTTGCTGTCAGATTCAAGAGAACCCCCCCCCCAAACACCCAGGTCCAAGTGCCTGGACCTCAGACCACCCTCCAACCCTAAGGCCCCTTAAAAGTACTTGCACGCAATGGCATCTATTTCTTGGTTTGCTACTGAAGTTCCCCAGGATTTAGGAAGCTTTGATTCTACTTCTGCGAGTGGCCAGAACTGCCATCTTGGCAGGATGGAGCAGCACCATGCCCATCACATGGAAACCCAAGGCTATGTATCCCTGTGTCAGTCATTCATCTGGGAAAGGAAACCTTAGCTCCAACCTCTGCCCCAAGGACTGTTTTAAAGTAAAGCTCCATTTAAAATACTACTTAGAGTGTTTAATAAAGTCTAATAGAGAGCCTATAAATACCATTGGGCTAGAAAGGCACATTAGTACCTTTAAAAGCCCTCCTCCATTCCTGCATCTCCAGCCCAGAAGAAACCCACAGATAAACTCCCTCCTGCTCCTAGATTTCCAGCTTTCCACCATGGGGAAGTTATCAAGCCAGCTGTTATCCAGCTCAGGGAAGACTCCAGATAAACCCCTCTACTGCTGTTGTTGCTTCTCCAACTCTTCATTTCCTCTAGAAATCCCTACAGCTCTTTTCAAGGGCCCCAATCATCCTCTGTTTAGCTGTCCTGCTCCCTTAGACTTACAAATATCTAGCTTTTTGCTCCCTCTTCCTATTTGTTAGGCTCATGCACTGCCCCTCCCTTCAGATCCAGATGGATCACACCTGGGAAGCCAGAGGTCCTTTGCTTAAAAGTCAGTGCCCAGCACAGTAGCTGATTTGGGTGATTTCAGTAGTGTTTCCTGGGGGGGAAAAAATTCTGCTTTTTTTTTGACAAATGAGTTGAAGACCTTTCTGAAGGTGAGCTAATACAAAAGAGCATCTAAGAAAAATGTTAGTGGCTGGGTAGGTTTATGAATGTGCGGCAATGACTCATGCATTCTTCACGTCAGTCTCTGAGGAAAAGAATAGTTCAATGGTTAAATCACAATTTTAGGACTAGTGAGAGCTGGGTTCAGTACCTAGGAGATGTATTTGTTTGTAAGCCAGAGGCTTAAAGTTGTCCTAAACAGCAGAATACTGCACAAGCTAACTTGCAACAATCACTTGTGCTGTTACTTGCTTTTCTGGGAATTGGGGCTTGCTCGGCAGTAAGAGCCAAAGAGTTAAGACCTTTGGCTTCCACTCTTAGCATTGCCCCTGTCTGAATCTGCCCAGCAACCTTCTGTCTCTTGGCTCACCATTTAGTTATAAGAGTATAACCATACCTGTGCACCTCACAAGGAGATGTGAGATTGTTGGAGGGACTCCTTTATTCAGAAGTCTTCTCATTATATGTAAAACAGGGCAGATTCCAGTCCCTGGCTTGAACCTTCATGTGAAGAGTATCCATACTGTGCTGTCTGCTTCCATGTTGAGGGGAGAAACTCAAACTGAAATGTATGCTACAGCAACAAAGTGGAAACCCATGATGGAGTCAGACACACCATGGCTTAATGTCTCACCAGTGCTACAAGTACCAGTTCCAGATGCTCATATATAACAGTGTTATTTCTTAACGACTTGTGTGTGCTTTCTCTTTGTCTAGGGACAGAAGGTGCACACAAACTGGCATAAGTGATCAGAAACCAGTTCAAATTTCTAACACAACGGAAGTTCAGTGAACATAAACTGCTTTCAAAATGGCTGAAACTGGTTAACGATAAACCTGGATGGATGTAGTATCAGACTTAACTGATTCAGGTTAAATCAGTTTATTGAACTTCTGTTGCAGATGCCCTCTGGATTAAAGTAAATTCAGTCCCCAGCATCCCAGGATGCTTTGCACCTCCCTTTGCAGGGTGGGCGGGCTAGCTTTGGCCCAAGCTGTCTGCTCCAGCCCAGCAGGGCGGTATACTCTAGCCCCCCCTGGCTTCTGGCCTGAGCCACTGCAGGCACGTGGCTGCATTTCCAGAATGGGCAATGTATGTCTGTTCACTTGCTTATTGGTTCAATCTATACCCCATAGACTAACCTGTGAAGATTGAATTGATTCAGCCTCAGGATTTTTGATTGTACTTAACCTAAGTGGTCTTAATATATTCAATGCCTTTATGTTCTGGCAATACTGTTCTCTGGCTCATTCTTTACCAGAGAAATAAGAAAAGCAAAAAAGGGAGCATATTAGAAGTGTTCATCACATTGCACTATAACACATGCAGGGTGGGGTTACTGTGGAATAGCCTTGGTTTACTTCAACAATTAGTCTGTACGTAATAGGTCATTTGTCATCCTCTGAAGGTCACATGTGTTGGCATCTTACACCTGTGCTGTTGGGATCTATCAGGAGCCCGAACCAACACTTGTATCTACTCTATTGATCCTTCTTTTTCTTCTGTTGCCAAATCAGCCTGGGTGCCAAAGGGAATGTTTGTAAGGAGGGCCCAATCCTTTAAGCTACCATATTGGAGCTTTAGGATTATTGCTAGTTGCCATGAATTAGAGCAGCCTGAAATCTAGTTATTAACCAAAGGCAAGGGAGGATGAGGACACCGTTGCTGAACCTTTCCTGGCATGTTCTGTGTGCTCTCCACCCCACCAGTGCATCCAGATGGGCGTGATTTTTTCTTTCCCCCATTCATTTTTATTAATTTTGTTCAATCAAAGTGTGCCCGGGCATTCTCCTGGCCTCTGTGCAGCGTGCCTGTGACTGGTGCTCACTGCATGCTTTCAGGGGTCCCTTCTATTTCCTGGGATGAGCCCAAGGGGAAGGGGCTGTGGTTCCCTGCCCTCCCCACCCCCAGCCCTGAGAGGGTTTATCTCACTGGTGGCATTTGGGGTGTCACCACCCTTGAAAAATGGGCTCTGCTATTTGTATATTTAATTTTGCTTGTGTGTGTAGCTTGACAGCTGATGTGTTGTCTTTATTGCAGGTGTGTGGGTTCCATGCTGATAAGGGGACTTCCGTCTGTCATATAAACCAGCATGGAGCCCCAGGCAGGCATCTTATCGGAAGGAAAGATGAGAAACGCGCTGCTGTGGATCGGTGAGTAACTTTTGGACTTTTTCTCTTGTGAAGACTTCCCTAGAAGGCTGGTCTCACAGGGCTGGGAACAGGAGAGGGCTTGCAACAGGACGTGTACCAGGTGTTTTGGGGTCATGTTCCATGTGAAAGTAGAATTACGTACTCTGTGACTGATTCAGCATTGATAAACCTTATGCCAGTTTATTTCTAATGCATGCCCCTTTCTTTTGCAGGCTTGGCCGTTTTGCTGCAGTTGCAGCTGGGGAAGAATATAACATCTTTTTCTCTTTGTGGAGCTGATGAATATTCAGGACAATAAGCCTTTGTCCCATGAGAGAATGGGAGAGTTAAGCCTGGGGGAAATTAAGCGAACTGGTGGGATCGTTGGATCTAAACTTCAGCTAGTGGAAATCAGTTTAGCAATGTCAGCTCCAGTGAGCTATGTCCATTCACACTAACTGAAGATCTGATCCAATTGTTCTCCTTTTTATACTTTACTCCTCCCTTTCTTTCTTCCCTCCCTTTCATTTTGCAATAAATGATCTGTGAGTTGAAGAATGGGCAAGTTGCTTTGGTGGGGGAGAGCTCTGCATTAAGAAGGAATAGGGAGGAACAGAACTAGTAATGCTTGGCCCTCTCTACTAATTATGCTGAGACTTAGTCTCCAAATAAGTAAGATTATCCTTTGTGCAAAACCCTTGGTCTAGTGCAAATATGTAATTTCAAGCTGTTCTTTGCGAAAAGGGAACACTCTGACCTTGGGTAATACCTAAGGAAAAAACGGTGTCCTGAAATATTTGCCAGGAGGGTGCTTTAATGGAGCAGGTGACTGACTTGGAGATAGTTGTGTCGGTGGAAAAAATACCGTTTAGGGTGCAACATTGAATAAACAGAATTCTGAGGTTCAATTAAACTGCCATTCCTAGTGAGAACTGGTGCATCTATGTACATAGTCAGGAAGAGTGAGGGAAGAGGTTGAATTTTCTTCCTCTTAAGCCGATGGAGCTGCAATAGTGTAAGAGGAATTACCCCTGACTAGTATGAACACTGGTGAGAGTAGAATCAGTCTTCTGATTGCTCCCCCAATGATTTCTCAAGATCACCACGCAGGAGACAGGCATTGCTTTCTCAAACTGCTCCGATTCACTTGTCTCCTAGGCTCTGCCTACAAACTTGTGTGCTACTTCACTAACTGGGCCCAGTATAGGCCAGAACCTGCCAAGTACTTCCCAAACAATGTGGACCCCCATTTATGCACCCACTTGATGTACGCCTTTGCAACGATGAATGAAAATAAGATTGCACCCTATGAATGGAACGATGAGGACAGACTCTTTCCAGCATTTCAAGCACTAAAGACAAGGTCAGTCCTCTCCAAAGTACAAGACATGCCATGGTAGGGGGTCAGACTCGATGATCTGCTCAGGTCCCTTCCGACCCTACTAACTATGAAACCTAAAACAAACAGCAGTGGTGTCGGACGAGATTGAGGTAGGAGTCTTTTTTATCAGTTATGATATAAGAATGGAAGAGATGCAATAAAGGATTTCCTTGTTGTAGAACAGAAATTATATAAAAGATAGAATGTAGCAGTGCTTTCGTTAAGGGCCCCATTTTGCAACTTTGATGAGACTTTGCTTGCAAAAGTAATTTTGTTGACTTCAGCAGGCTACCAATATAAGTGTGCATCTGCATTAGTCAGATCTGCAGGTCTGTCATACCTTGCATTTAAACCCCTCTGTCACAGTATAGTGGCTTGGATGATTTATGTTCCCTGTGGCTGGAATGTGACGCTCTGGATTCAAGTTCGGGTTTAAAGATTTTGATTAATGCATAAAGCAATTGTTGAATCAAGGAGGAGGGGAGCGTGTGCCGTTGAACTTGAACCCAAGGGATGTGGATTTAAAGCCTGGTTTTGCCACAGACTCCTTTTGACCTTTGAGAAGTTTCATAGACATTAGGGCTGGAAGGGACCTCGAGGATCGTCAAGTCCAGCCCCCCGCCCCAGGGACAGAAAGTCAGCTGGGGTCAAAGGACCCCAGCAAGATCAACATCCAAGTGTTTCTTGAATAAGTGCAGAGTAGGTGCCTGCACCACATCTGGAGGGAGTCTATTCCAGGTCTTGGGGGCTCGGGGGCAAAAGTTGTTTGTTCTTTCTCTGCTTCCTATTTCCATGCATAAACTGTTTATTATGCATAAACTATTTCCATGCATAACACTCCCCCTATTCCATCTTTTATCCATCCTGCTTGTTTGGGCCATAAACTCTTTAAGGTTTAGGCTGTTTCTTGCTGTGGGTTAGTACCGTGCTTGGCACGGCAGGGTTCTGGGGCACTAGTGTGATGGATAAGCCAGGAAGAGGTGAATGGATTTTTCTCAAACTGAAAAATGTTCAAAACTGAGCAGAGGCTCAGTCGTCACAAAGTGACTGCTCCTGCTGACCATTCATTTTGTTTTCTTTTCTTGTGTCACAGCAATGACAAGCTGGTCACCCTGCTGGCCATCGGCGGGTGGAACTTTGGCACTCAAAAGTAAGAGCTCTTCTTTTCGCTGCAGCCAAATAACGAGGATGATGGGGATGCCAGGGGCCTCACAATATACAGCCTCCTCCTGCTCCCCTGGAGTCAGCGGGAGTCTTGCTATTAACATCAGCAGGCATGAAACTGGGTGGCCAGTGATCGTTGTAAGGGTAGTGAAGGATACTGGATGCAAATAGTTGTAGCTGATTAAAAATTGGTGATAGCTGTAAGGCTAGTGAGAATACAGGGGAAAATTGGGTATGGTGCTTAACTAGGAAATAAGTGACATGATGAAGTATTATCCATGATGCAAATGGAAGGTGATTGGTGAGGATGGAAATACAGGAGATGTATTGAAATGATAAAGTTGATGTTGCTGGAGCTGGGAAATTTTTTCATTTGAAGCCTTTTCTGTGAAAAGTGCAGGTTTTGTTAGTGAAATGTATTTAAATTTCACTGAACTGATCACTTAAAAACAAAAAAAATCCCAATTCATTTCCATTCAATGTCTTGATTTTTTTTTTTTTCCAATTGGGAGTGACTTTTTGATTACATTTACCCGTGATTATCATTTTTTTTCAAGCTTAACAAATGCTCAAAATCAGAATGAAATGTTTTGCTTCAGATTAATTTTTTGTTTTGCTTTCTTTTTTTCCTGAAAGATCCTGTAAACCAAAAAAATCTTTTTCTTTTTTTTGCACAGCTCTCGATACTGCAATAGTTGGGAATTTGAATGGGAATGTGGTAGCATTAAACAGAAAATAATGATATAACAATGATGTGATAATTCAGATAAGGCCATCTGCAATGTCTGTTAATGTCAGTGCGAGTCCTCCATTGACTTTATTGGCTATTGGGTCATGGAAATAGATATCAGTTAGAGTGGTATGGGATAAGGCAGTCATATTTATAAAGCAAACGATGAATCTGCAATGGTATGCATTGACGGGGAGTTTGTCTACCGTTGCCTGAGAATTGTCTTTTCCCCAGGTTCACTCAAATGGTGGCATCACAAGCAAATCGTAAGACCTTCATTGACTCCGTGATTGCGTACCTCCGCAAATTTGGGTTTGATGGGATCGACTTGGATTTCGAATACCCGGGTTCCCGAGGCAGCCCCCCTGAAGACAAGCATCGCTTCACCATCTTGATTCAAGTGAGGAACGAATGGGCTCTCTCAGTTACTTTTTTATGGCATATAGACAGATAATCACGGAGCTGAACATCAGCTGTTCTTGCTCTAGTGCTGCGTGATCATGCTGCTTGTCTATCTTTAGTGCCAGGAGACCAGAAATTGTAGAAATAAAGTATCAGGATTTGTTTAAGACATCTGGTTTAAGGACTTTGGGCTACCGAGACATGGAAGCAAAAGTCAGGAGATTACGGAGCTTGTGAAAAAGAGGCAGCAGATGAAATGTTTCCACATAGATACTTACAGCTGGACAGGAACAACTTTATAACTGGAGTGACTAACACCATGCTCTCTCATCAGGAAATGCTGGAAGCCTTCACAGCTGAAGCTGCAAGTGCCAACAAGCCACGTCTATTGATTACAGCAGCAGTATCTGCTGGGAAAGCAACTATTGATGCTGGCTATGAGATTGCTGAGATAGGGGGGTAAGTAGCTTGGTTACCACATTGTGTGTAGTATGTTATTGGCTGGGTGCTTCGCTGCCTTGACCCTTGTGCCATGATTTACACCTGAGCCGCATGGGTGTGTGCCTAAACCCCCATCTATAGTACTCGCACTCCCCTCGCACAGGTAACTGCATGAGGCACAAAATGATAGGGATTCAGCCCCTTATCTGAGAGCATTGTTGCATGGTTCATTGTGTGTTGACTGACTAGTCCAGATGGCAGTGCCTTTCCTCATCACTGCTCTTGCTTAAATTATACCAGGCTCCTGGATTTCATCAGCGTGATGACCTATGATTTCCATGGAGGCTGGGATCCAGTCACAGGACACAACAGTCCCTTGTATCAAGGCTGCAAGGACCAGGGTGACTTCAAGTTTTTCAACTGCGTAAGGAAGTAGACCGTAAACTCCACTATCTTCCCCAAGAAGATCATGAGATGATGAGCAATGAGTGTAAGTGTCTTTTCTTTTGTGTCTCTGCAGAAATATGCCATGGAGTACTGGAAGAACAATGGCGCCCCACCTGAGAAGCTCATCATGGGTTTCCCCACCTATGGGCGCACCTTCAGGATCAGTGGCACGGACCGTTGTGTTGGAGCTCCTGCATCTGGGGCAGGCTCTTCTGGGCCCTACACCCGGGAAGCTGGCTTTTGGGCATATTATGAGGTAGGAAACGTGAAGAAATAGGATTTTTGTGGACCAGGTCTTGAAGTGGTATCAGCTCGTGTTTTTTTGGCTCTTATTCTCATGTCAATCTAAGATGCATCAGTGTAAATCTGGGGGTGCAAGGAGACCTGGGTAAATCTGTACTTGGGTACTTCGAAGAGTGTAGCTGCTGCAGCATAGATCTCCATGGGGGCTGCAAAAGCTGGGTAGATAGGTTGATTCCAGGCTGCCACGGTGACTCTAATAACAGGATTTTAGGATAGCTAGTTTAAAAGAAGCTCGAGCATGCCTATACAAGCTTCAGCCTATTGTTTAGATGCATGCTCTGATCCCTTTACTCTGTATATGAAAATCAGGCCTGTTGACTCTAATAGAACTTTCCAGCTTAAACCTTACTGCATTAGCAGATGCCTTAGTAATTCACTTGTGTATCAATCACTGATCACTTTTTCATTTAGCATGTTGGTTGCTGGGTATCTGTCTCTTGCCTAAGATTTTGTTTCATCTATAATGCGAGAGAGTTCTCTTCCCACTCATACTAGTGGTATGCTGTAATAGTGCTACTGGGTTATATCTTCACAACTGGAGGAGTTGCATTCAGCTCCTGTCTTGAAGGGAAAGTAAGGCAAAATACTTTATGCCACTTTTTTCTGAATTACTGAGTCCAAAGCAGTTTCTGATGCAAATTAGTACAGGTCTGCTCTTCTTTGCGTCTGTGGAGATCAATGAGCAGTTCTCCAAGGCAGGGGACTGATAAGAGCATAGCGGTGACCTGGCCATACCCCGTCCTGTTGGCAGTACACCTGACTGCTGGGTTTGTGAGGTGGGTAGGTCTAGATGTCCATTACTAGTGGGTACTCCAGTGTCAGGGTTAATTATGCTGCCAGATTGGCACAATGAAGGTTAAATAGGACAGGAGACCTGTTCCTTTGACTTGGCATTCTGGCTCCTGAATGAGGGCCAGTGCATGCTAAAACAATGCTGTTTTGTCAGATTTGCACCTTCCTGAAGACCGCTCAAGTACGTTGGATGTGTGACCAGCAAGTCCCATATGCCTATAAAGATAATGAGTGGGTTGGATTTGACAATCTCTGCAGCTACCGACACAAAGTAAGGCTTTAATGTTCTAAAGTGACCTGTATGTTTTACTGCTTCTGCAACTGCAAAACACTTGGCTTATATCCCATGCATCTTAGTTCTTCTTGTTAAAATGTGGACATGTACCATCTTTATTTGCATGCCACATGCCCCCAAATAAGGTTTACACCTTGTTTGTTCCCTACAGAGTTAATGATTTCAGTTCTTGTGTTGAAATTCTTGGAGAACACAGTTGAGGGCTGTCTTGAGTAGTTTTATGATGTTTGCGGTAGGTCCAATACTTGAAGGATAACAATTTTGGAGGAGCCATGGTCTGGGCAATTGACTTGGATGATTTCCTGGGCACTTTCTGCAATGAAGGAAAATATCCTCTGATAAGTGAGCTGAAGAGACTCCTTGAAATGAATGGTAAGAAGACGGGAATAAGGATTTCTGGGCAATCTAGTTACAAAATTCTGCATGGCTAAAACCCAGGACTGGGTGTGGGAGAGGAGAGGAAAAATGAGGAGAGCCTTGACATGTTTTAGTCCCAATAGGTGAATAGTGAAGACACTCACTTAGGTCTTACGCCTCCTGTCACCCAGAGTGGGTTTGGACCTGCATATCTCTGACTTCCTGAACCACCCCACTAGGTCACAGGTTAGGTATGATCTACTACCATTTCCAGCCATTCTTTTGACCTTGGCCCTTGGGCAGCCAAGGTGGGGGGTGATGCATGTATCCAGGAGGAAGAGAGCATTTTAAAGGAGGTATAGCTCAGTGGGATGGATGGATGGATGCTGCTCTGGAAGAGAAGGAGTCCTGGGCTTTAGCATGGACCCAGTGGCACAGAATCTTCCCTGCTGCCTTTTCATTCAGTTTATTCATTGACTATGAAATGCAAGGCACAGCAGTTCAGCCCAAAGAGGAGAGCTCTTCCTTGTTTTTCCAGGACTTATGGTCAAGTTCACATAACTGTACCTACCCAGACTCTGCCTAGCCTACTGCACATGCTCAGTAGCCATGTAGACAGTTAGACATCCACTTTGCACAGGTAACAGAATCACAAGCTGCCCGTATGTACCAAAAATGCTACTTGCACAGCTTGCAAACTGTCATTTGGGGCATTAAGTGAAACAGGAGTCTGCCCACAGACAGCCACAGGAGAATATGTGTGTGGTTAAGGTTTGTCTGAACATGTGATTCTTAAAGCACCAATGATTGATTGTTCATTTTAGAGCCAATTGATCTAAACTGCCATGAAGACATCCCTGATGATGACTGTGGTTCATGTGGCACTGTTTCACCTGATCCAACTGATCCTTCTTCACCTACAACAACACTTCCACCACCTACACCTGAGAAACCAACAGTCAATCCTGGTGATAAGACATTTTGCAGTGATAAACAAGATGGCATATATGCTGACCCTGCAGATCAGGCATCCTTCTACCAATGTGCTGCAGGCACTTCTTACCACTTCACGTGTGCAGGTAGCCTGGTCTATGATGAGATCTGCAAGTGCTGCAACTATCCCTAATATTAACACCAGCCCCCAAGGTTGCAACGTTGGTAACCTCACGAGTCCCTCTGGAATCCCCCTATCTTTATAAATAAAGCCAGCAGGCAGGGATAGAGCATATATGTGTGTTGTCTTTCTTCTTTGTGGTATTTGATTAGTGACCCTGTTTTAACAGCAACAGAAATAGTCATTTTGCATAATGTCTTCTCTGCTGTTGCATCACAAAGTATACACCACACTCTCAACCTAGGCAAAATCTGGCATGGTCGGGCACTTTCCAAGGTGTAGGCTTCACCTAGGGTATGTGTTTGATTCATGTCACATTAGTACTTGCACAGCTCTATGGATGCTCTTACAGCTGTAGATACTGGTATAAGTATTGCTCATTAGCTACTGTAATTTTGTAGGCCTCGTCCTTAGGGTTGGATTTATTTCCCTTTCTAACTGGTGTGAGGCCACATTGGGGAGGTGTAGTCCATAGCTCTAACTTTCTTCCAAGAACAAATCACTGCAGCTAGAATCAGTGATTTGGAGCACATTTCATGACAGGTGAATTTAACTTTCTCAAAGACACCTGAAACCTCCCAGACGTAAAAGACACAGCTGGGCTTTGGTTCTCATTTCCAAAGATTTAAATGGTATATAACTTCACAGGGAAAGTATCAATGAGAAGAATGATAGTAGGAGTGACACTGGTAAACAGCTATAAAGCAGTGGGGGATCAGTCACGTCTACCAGGGTTCTTTAAACATCTCTCAGCAAGAAGGTGATACTCTCTGGTCTATTTGCTTTCTAATGATATAGATTTTTGGGGTAAGGCATTTTTTAGTTATTTAAAAAAAAAACAAAAAACATTACAAAATGACATTTTTGTACCAGCCACCTCTATTTTTCAAACATGATCACTGGATGTAATAATCAGATTACTCTGTGCAGCCACTCAGAGGTGTGAATCTTCAATGCCAGTCTTTTAAAAAAGAAACAACTCTTCAACCTATTTATCCTGTTGATCCAGTTATTTAATGCAGCAAGGGGAAATATAAGCTTGACAGGTTAGTATGGGCTTGATAGGACCAGCACAAAGCCTATGCACATCTTAAATCTAGCATACATAGCATTGAACACCCTCTTTCCAGTTCTGACGCATTACTTTCTGACAAGTGTGTAGGTTTATACACTATTTTAGCTGCTGGGACTTAAATTGAGTGACGCATAGCATCTGCTGTGGTTCTCTGTATAGCAGCAAGTTTTTTCCCCACAGGATTATTTGTGTGTATATCAGATGCCATCGAATATCTGCAGGGGCATGGATGGAAGGAAAAATGAGTGAGGTGAATATAGAGGCATGCACATACCTCGCAGGTTCAGTTTAGAGCCTAGTTCTGGCAAGATGTCCCCTTTTAGCACTGCAGGAAAATATGACCACTTAAAATGTGATTTTAAACACTTGTTGAGCACATACAGGGGGCTAATATATAAAACATGCTTATGCTACACCCTTTGCCTCTCCTGTAGCAGGGCCCACTCACAGACTGAAGCTGGAGACGAGGAATGAGAACTCCTGGGTTCTGTTCTCAGACTACAAGTCAGAGACAAAGCTGACTTGGTCCAGGTCATTTTATCCTCTCTGTCCCTCAGTTTACCACTAGGTTCAAAGGGAATACCATCATTTACTTGCCTCACTGGAAGCTCTGAGGTTTCTAGACCCTTTGGGATCTGTGGGTGAACTGCACTTTAAATGCAAAATCTTCTCGTGATTCTGGAAAGAAGCTTCCGATCAGGTCACAGGTGCTGCTTGCAGAGGTTCGTGTGTCAAGGGTTATTTCTTGCAGAATGGTATCCATATTTGCTCAGTCACTTTCCCCTGTTCAATGCTTCGTTGCGAAGGTCTGACAGATCTGTCCTCTAGTCTGTTCATCAGCAAGGGAGTAAGTGAAGGCAAAGAAAAAAGGAAGTGCATTAGACTGATGGTCACATTGCACCTTCCCTATCCCTGAGAGAAGCAGGGTGGGATCACCACTGAACTGCCTTGGCTTCTTTTGGTAATTAGTCCATATATAATCTTCAGGTCATGAACATGGGGGGTGGAATGAGCTTTGGTTCCATACTCAGCAGCCCTGAGAGAGTTTATCCTCCTGCTGTCATTTGTGGTTTCAATGCCTTTGAACAAAGGGGCTCCTCTGTTTCTACATTTTATTTTGCTTATGTGTGTAGTTTGCCAGTCATTTTGTCATCTTTATGCAACTATGATGCTGATCAGGGGACTTTCTGCTGTCACATAAACCAGCAAAGAGCCAGGGACTAGGCATCTTTTGAGAAGGAAAGATGGAGAAGGTGCTGCTGTGGATGGGTGTGTAACTCCTGGATTCTTTTCTTCCTCTGAATGAAGGAAACTTCCCTGGGGGGCTGGTTTCACAGGCAAAGGAGGGACATGCTACAGAAATTGCACTACAGTTTTGGGTCATGCTAGGTGCAGCTACACTTGTGCTTTAATGCACATTAGCCTATTTTCATGAGCACAGAGAAGCATCACAAAAAAGTGTGCTTTTGCTAATGTGCATTAAAATAGGCTAATGTGTCTTTTCTAGTACTTTACAATGGAGGTACTAAATTTAATGCGCATTAGCAAAAGCTTATTAATGAATGTGTAGATGCGCCCACTGTGTATTAAGCAGTTATTACTTAGCCTGAGATTGATTAAGCATAAACAACCTCTATTTCAGTTAATTCCTAATGCAGTCTCTTTTCCTTTGCTGGCTTGGCAATTTTGCTGCAGTTGCGACTGGTTAAGAATATCTCATCTCTTTTTTTCATTCACATAGAGCTGATCAATCTTCAGGACAATAAACCTTTGTTACATGACAGAAAAGGTGAGGAAAGCCTAAAGGAAATAAAGAATGAATAGGAGAAAATGCTGCATCCGAACTTCAACTGGTGAAAACCAGTTTAGCTATGTTAATCTCAGGGAGCAGGTTTCATGCCAGCTGAAGGTTTAATCCAGTTATTCGTCTTTGTTCTTTACGTCTTCCTTTCATTCTTCCCTGCCTTTCACTCACTGCAACAAATGATCGGTGAGTTGAAGAATGGACGAATATCTTTCTGGAGATTCTGTATTAGAGAGGAATAAGGATCTATAGAACAGGTATCCTCTTCTGCAGGGCTGACCCATGGCTATATCTACTGCTTGTGCTGAGACTTTCTCTCTAATAGTGGTAAGCAAGATTATCCTTTGTACAAACCCTAATTGTCCTGGTCTAGAGCAAATATTTCATTTCAAGCTGTTCTTTGTGGAAAGGGAATGCCCTGACCTTGGGCAATACCTAGAAAAAACAATGTCCTGAATTGTTTGTCATGGGAAGATTGGGGGTGGGAAGGTGCTTGACTGGGACAGGTGACTGACTTACAGGTGTTAGTGCCACCAGAGTGGATACTAGTACCAGTGCAGCATTGCATAAGCAGAATTCATGAGTAAATCTCCATTTGTGCTGAGAATTGGTGCATTTGTATGTGTGAAAGAAGTTGGGTTTTCCTCCTTTATACTTTCAAAGCTTGGTTCCAGTGAAATTATTGCTACCAACACCGGTGAGAGAAGAACCAGTTTTCTGATTGCTCTCATCAATGACCCTTGAGACCACCACTCAGAAAGAGGCAGGCATGTTATTTCCTAATTAGCTCTGATTTGCTTGTCTCCTTCCAGAACCTGGCTACAAACGTGTGTGCTACTTCAGTAACTGGGCCCAGTACAGGCCAGAACCGGCTGAATTCTTCCCAAACAATGTGGACCCCAATCTATGCACCCGCTTGACCTATGCCTTGCAACAATGAATGAAAATCATGTTGGATCCTACGAATGGAATGACGAACACAGACACTATCCAGAAATTCAAGCATTGACGAAAAGGTCAGTTCCTCCCAATGGACAAAATATAAAACAAATGCTCATTATGTCAGATGAAACTGAAGTAGTATTTTTTTTCTATCAAACATGATGCAAGGACGGGAGGGATATGATAAAGTATTCCTTTGCTACAGAATAAGAATTGCATAGTATATATTATATAGCCATACTCGCATTAAAGGGCTCCATTTTTCAACCTGATGAGATTTCACTCATAAGAGTAATCATGTTTTATTTAGTGGGGTACTCATGTAAGTATGCATCAGTGTCAGTGAAACCTACAGGTCTATCCTACACTGCATTTAAACCCCTTTTCCATGTTATAATAGTTTGGATATTTTACATTCCCTGAAGCTGGACATAGGCAGGGAAATCTGATATCTTTTATTAGACCAACTCAGATAGCTGGAAAAATTCTTCTTAGCAAGCTTTCAGGTTTAAATACCCTTTGTCAGGCTGAGGAAGCATCTTCAGTTGGCATGTGCTCTTTCAATGTTGGATGATCCATTGTGTATTGAGATCGCAGCCCTATTCATCATCATTATTTTTCCTGAATGTAAACCAACCGATGCACTCATCCTCTTCATCTCTCAACTAAGTGCTCCATTCAAAGGAAGGGGATTACAGCACCTTCTTGCCTCCCACAGAGTTGTGAGGTCTATTGAATATTTTGACACCCTTGAGATCCTTGCAATGAATGCTACTCTCAGATTCTTTTTGTTATTCTTCAAACAGGGCTCACTGCAGACCATGGCTCTATCCTTCATTTGGGGTGGCATCCATGCAATGCATCCTATCTCTATATGTCGGGGAGAAACTTGCACTGAAGGATATGGAACAGGAACCCAATGGGAAAAACTCATTAGAGTTAGAAGCGCAATAGTCCAAGAAAAGCTTCACAAATATGCCAAGTGCTGGTTATAGATGCTTCTGTTTGATAAGAGATGATTCCTTAAGGGATTTTATGCACTTTCTCTTGCTGGTTTAAAGCTGTTTAGTACTTTCCTTAAGTGTGGACAAGTCTGGTCTCTGGCCTGGCTTGTGGCTGTGAGGTGAGCAGAGGTAAAGGAAAGCAGGGTGTTATATCACCTTGCATGCTCTCGAGTGTTATGAAGGCCAGGTGGGATCACTGCTGAACAGCCTTGACTTACTTTAGTGACAGTCTGTGCATAACCTCCTGGTCATTTGTCACTTTCTGAAGGCCATGTGTGTTG